TGATAAAGGTATAAATCCATCTGCGGTGTCCTCAAGCATGACCATCCTCGAGACATTATGCCCGACCACATCTCATGCTGCTTCGCGTATTGCAAACATTTGTCCTCGGGCATAGTCCTTGGGTACGTCCTCCCCTCACTACTGACGATTGTTAACCCTTTAGAATTCCTACGCAATTAGGAATCTTAAATCCCACAAGAATCCTATCTCACGTATAATTCTGGAATTCAACCAACTCCTTAACTATTCAGGACTCCAACAGATGAGGACATCCAGCTAGTTGAGTCCAATTAGGAGAATGTCACTTACTACTATAAATACAGAACCTTGAACCATTATTCAGGTACATTTTTCATTGTTTTTCAGCACATAGCCTCACGCATATATTTCCCTTTCTGACTTAAGCATCGGAGGGGCGACGAGAACACACCTCGTTGCCTTTGTTTCAGGTACCGGGAGACCACGATCGTGATCAACCAGAATCATCAAGCTCGGAAAATCATCAGGTACGATTTTTGGTAGCATCATTGGCGCCGTCTGTGGGAAACGCTACCAAAAGCCATGGTAAACACACGTTCAGGTCTTCCACTAGCAAGCTCATCCGCTCCAAACCAACCCCCTCCTGAGGATATCCCTGTTCCTCAAGAGGAATCATCAGAAGTGCCAGAGCCCCAGCCGGCAGTCGTCACTGCTGGAGCCTTTGAAGAGCTCAGACAACAGGTCGCCACACTGACTCAGCTGCTAAGTCAAAGAAATTCGCATCCGTCACCCACACCAGTACCCCAGGGGGGTTTTATGGCTGATGCTCGAGCTCGAGCTCATGTCCCTGACAATGGCGGAGCAGGGGCCTCGGGTATACCACATGTGACCTCGGCCTCGAGATCAGTGACCATGGAGTCCGGGGAACTCGCTAGGATTATTCAAGAAGGAATTACGGCGGGCCTACTTCAGGGCAACAAAGGGACGACAAGATTCCGTCCCAACACTCCATTTACTCCCGAGATATTAACATTCCCCTTGCCAGACAGATTTAAGTATCTTAGGATCAAAGAATATGATGGGACCACCGATCCAATCAATCATCTGAACATATACACGGACGTCATGAATCTACAGGTTGCACCAGACCACGTGATGTGCAAGGCCTTCCCGCAAACTTTGACGAATGCTGCTAGGGATTGGTTCTCAACCTTAGAGCCCAACTCCATAACCTCATTCTCAGATTTGGCGGACAAGTTCTCCGCTTTCTTCGCAAGCAGCAAACGCATCAGGAAGACAGCGGCTTCCCTCATGCAACTTAGACAAGGGCAAAATGAGACCCTATGTAACTTCATGACCAGGTTCAACAAGGAAAGACTTCAGATTCCCGACCTACACATAACTGCAGCAGTTTCTGCCCTCACATATGCTATAAAGTGCGAGGCTTTCAAGATGTCTTTATCCAAAACTCCACCAAAGACAGTCACCGAGCTTCTTACCCGAGCCGAGAAGTACATAAATATGGAGGAAACACTGAACCTGAGAAAGGTTGGACCATCCCATGACAGGGTCGAGCATAAAAGACAGCATGACCCGAACCCCCGTGAAGAACAGCATCAGAAAAAACAGAGATAGGAGGTTCCCCCGATGCCGTTCACACGTTTAAATACGTCAAAGACCAATATATTGATCGAGATCAAGGATATGAAGGAACTGAAATGGCCTGTCAGAATGAGGTCACCACCCGAATCCAGGGACATGAACAAATACTGTGAGTTCCATCGGGACCATGGGCATACCACAGAGAACTGTAAGGCCCTACAACGGGAGATTGAAGCCCTTATCAAAAGAGGACTCCTGAGCTCCTACGTCGGTAACGACAAACGCCCGAGGAATGATCGTGGCAGGGAAAAAGACCCTGAGGCAAAAAGGGATGGTCAACCCACTGCTGGAACCATCAATATCATCATTGGAGGTATTGCCTCGGGAGGAGACTCCAATAGTGGAAGAAAACAATATGCCCGACGATATGTCTCGGCGTCTGGGATGCCTCATGGAAAGCTGGAGGATATTACTTTTGGGACCGGGGACTTAGAAGGTGTATCACTTCCACATGATGACGCCTTTGTAATCTCAGCGATTGTGGCCAATTTTGAAGTGAAGAGAATCCTGGTTGACAACGGGAGTGCGGCCAATATACTTTCACAAGAAGCTTTTGCCAAAATGGGAATCTCATCTCACCAGCTCAAAGCGGTTAAAACTCCACTCCAGGGGTTTGGTGGAGGAGTCATCACTCCAGAGGGTGTCGTTGAGCTTCCACTAACTTTGGGTTCTGGCCAGAAACAGGTTACGGAGATGACATCTTTTCAAGTGGTACGTGTCTCAATGGCCCATAACGCAATTCTGGGAAGACCACTCCTGAACAAGATTAAAGTCATTGTGTCCACCTTCCACCTAGCCATGAAGTTTCCAACAAATAATGGCGTTGGGGTTGTCCGTGGAGACCAGATAGCTGCAAGACAATGCTATGTTGCCAGCGTTCGGGAAATAAATGACGACGTCATGCAAATCTCGAGGATGGATCCCGAGGATGGGCAACAAGTCAGACTTGCTCCTGTCGAAGAATTGATGAAAATTGAGCTCGAGCATGATAAGAAGGTGACGATTGGTCGGGATCTTGACGTCACCCTGAAGACAGAACTTGTTGGTTGCTTATTTCGCAACATTGACGTTTTTGCCTGGAAGGTTGAGGATATGTCAGGGATAGACCCTAAAATTGCAGTCCACAGGCTTAACATTAGCCCAGGGGCCAGGCCAGTAAAACAGAGGAAAAGACAGTTCGCCCCAGAGCGTCGGGAGGTCATCCGCGAAGAAATTAACAAACTCATCAGTGCTCGGTTCATTCGGGAGGTCCAATATCCCGATTGGCTAGCCAATGTTGTTTTAGTGAAGAAGGCCAATGGTAAGTGGACAGTCTGCATTGACTTCACAGATCTTAATAAAGCATGTCCAAAGGATAGTTATCCCCTACTGTGGATTGACAACTTGGTGGATAGCACGTCTGGACATAAGCTATACAGCTTCTTGGATGCATTTTCTGGTTATCATCAAATCCTCATGGCTGAGGAAGATCAAGAAAAGACCTCATTCATGGTCGATTCCGCTATATACTGTTATAAGGTCATGCCTTTCGGTTTGAAGAATGCAGGGGCAACATACCAAAGGCTCATCAACAAAGTCTTTGCTAACTTGATTGGAAGGAATGTGGAGGTGTACGTTGATGACATGGTGGTGAAAAGCAAACAGGTGGACCAACATATTTCGGATCTTGAAGAAGTGTTCAACACCTTGCGAAAGTACGGAATGAAGTTGAACCCCGCAAAATGTGCATTTGGCGTGGCCTCGGGCAAGTTCTTGGGCTTCATGATCACTCACCGGGGGATAGAGGCCAACCCTGATAAAATATAAGCATTAGCGTCTATGGAATCACCAAGGAACAAGAAAGAGGTACAGAGGTTGATTGGTAGGATAGCAGCCTTGAACAGGTTCATGTCCCGAGCATCAGACAGGTGATATCCCTTCTTCAAAGTCCTCAGAGGAAACCAAAGCTTTGATTGGAATGAAGACTGTGAGAAAGCTTTTCAGGAACTCAAGCAGACATTAGCATCTCCTCCTATTCTAACGAAGCCTGAGCCTGGTGACACCTTATTTTTGTACCTGGCTGTATCTGAAAATGCGGTCAGTGGGGTCTTGGTGAAAGAGGTTAACAAAGTCCAACAACCAATCTACTATGTAAGCAAGGTCCTACTGGATGCGGAAACAAGGTATACTTTGGCGGAACAACTTGCCCTTGCCTTGGTTGTAGCAACACGGAAACTCAGGCAGTATTTCCATTCTCACCCTATTGTGGTGCTCACTAATCAACCACTTAGGCACATACTTCAGAAGCCGGACGTATCGAGAAGACTGATGAAGTGGGCAATCGAGCTAGGAGAATTTGACATCGAATTCAAACCACGCCCATCTATCAAAGCCCAAGCACTAGCCGACTTCATCGCAGAACTAACCCCTAGGCCTCGGGGGCCAGGTGACAGATCGAGCATGAGCACTAATTTGGACACTTGGCAAATTTTTGTGGATGGAGCATCGAACTCCTCGGGCTCGGGCGCAGGGGTCATCCTCATCAGCCCTGACAAACAAACAGAGATCCAATGCGCTCTCAGGTTCGAGTTTGAAGCAACCAACAACGAGGCCGAGTATGAGGCCGTCGTTATTGCTCTGGAGCTAGCCCTTTGCCTTGAGCTCGAGTTCGTAAAGATATTCAGCGATTCACAACTGGTGGTTGGACAAATTGAAGGATCATTTGAAAGGAAGGACGAGAAAATGAGTTTATACTGTATGAAGGTTCAGGACCTTCAACGAAAATTCAAGAGATGTGAAATTGCAAAAATTGCTCGAAAGGACAACGGAAAAGCCGACGCATTATCCAGGCTTGTGTTCATGGGGGTAGACGGCCTTGACAGAACAGTTCACATTAAAATCATCACAGAACCCAGCATCGGTCAAATCCTCGACATCATGGACATTGACAACGAACCATCCTGGATGGACCCAATCATAGAATTCATCACAAGTGGAAATCTACCAAGCGATGCGAGGTTGGCTAGAAGCATCAGAGCCCGAGCTCCTAGGTACTGTATGATCAGCGGTGTCCTCTTCCGCAGAAGTATTACTCTTCCATACCTAAGGTGCCTCAGGCCATCAGAATCAACCCAGGCCCTTGCTGAAGTTCATGAAGGTGTGTGCGGGAATCATCAAGGAGCCAGGGCCTTGGCCTTTAAACTCGTACGATATGGATACTACTAGCCAACTATGAAAAAAGACGCCTCAGAATATGTTAAAAGATGTGATAGGTACCAGAGGTTCGGTAATGTTATCCACTCACCAACCGAAGACCTCACCAACATTAACTGTTCGGCCCGGTTGAACAATGGGGAGTTGACATCCTCGGCCCCTTTCCTATGGCAATAGGTCAATTAAAGTTTGTTGCTGTAGCAGTAGAGTACTTCATAAAATGGGTAGAGGTCGAGGCTCTCGCCACAATATCGGAGCCCAAGCTAAGAGCCTTCACTTGGAGGTCTATCATTTGCATGTTTGGGATACCAAAGGTCCTCATCACCGACAATGGCAGGCAATTTGACAACCAAAAATTTAGAAATTTTTGCTCAAACCTTGGGATTGATCACCGTCTAACATCAGTTTCGCATCCTCAGAGCAACGGTCTGGCCGAGATAACAAATCGAATCATATTGCAAGACCTCCGAACAAGAATAAGCGATACTAGGGGTTCTTGGTCCGACGAGCTGCCTTCCATACTTTGGACGTATAGAACAACTCACAGGACAACTACAGGAGAAACCCCTTTTATGTTAGCCTATGGCATTGAAGCAATGGTCCTAGTGGAAATTAGACTGCCAAGCCATGGGAGGCTCGTGCCAGAAATCTCGGAGCATACAACTGAACATCTTGATCTCTTGGAAGAAGTACGGGAACAAGCCGCTATAAAAGTGGCCTCTTACCAAACTAAGACAGCAAAACATTTTAATAGCAAAGTCAAGGCTCAGAGGTTCAGAGCTGGCGATTTGGTCTTGAGGAGGGCCGAAGCAGCAGGCCACCCCCCAGGGAAGCTCGGCCCCATCTGGGAAGGGCCCTTTGAGGTCATACGACAGGTTCGCAAAGGAGCATACAGCCTAAGAGACACTTCGGGTAGACCTCTTCCGAGGCCCTGGAATGCCGACAATCCAAAAATATATTACAAGTAACATTCTCGATGCCGTTTAGGAGATTTTCTTTTTCTGCATGTTATTTTTGATTTTTCGGGCCTGCGTGTCCTTGCATTTTATTTCTAGTTTAGCGGGCCTGCGTGCCCATGCATGTTTTCCGTTTTCTTTTGTAATGAACTACGTTCGGCTTGATCCCGTTTGGGTACGTAGGCAGCTTGGATGCAATATAAATCCAAGTCCAGTCCAAATAATTAATAAATCTAAACCCCGGGAATAACAGCCCGATAGTAAACCTTGCCCTCGAGCAAGCCCCCTTAAGCCTTGTCCTTGACAAGCCAATGTAAGCCTTACCCTCGAGCAAGCCGTCTAAAGTCTTGCCTCGAGCAAGCACCAAAATCTTGGAGCTCATAATCAGCACATCAAAATAGTGTAGCACAAGTATAAATACCGAGGACATACATCCCGACCATATATCCTTGTATTTTTGTCCAAGCCTGAAAATGAAAGCTCGGGATAAACTCATGTACAGAGGTCGGTCACAATTATTCGTACTCCTCGGGGGACTACCATCCCTTAAAATTAATCCTCGAGTGTTAAGTGTGTAGAAAACTACATCCTACACTGTCCTCAGCATTATCACTTGTTTAAAAATTGAGTTATTCTCAATCGTCGAGATGATTAATTAGTCGTCGAAAATAATTAATCTTCTTTAGTCGTCGGGGGTAACTTGTCTACGTGCTCGGGGTTCACACTTGGATGTTCCAAGATAATTTTATTATTTAGTCCTCGAGGTAACTTGTTTAATGCTCGGGTTCAACACTGATGTTCCCAAATGGTTTTACAGTTTGAGTCCTCGGGATGAATTTTGTGTACGTTATAATATTCAGAAATATTTTCACAAATTAGGTCCTCGAGGTGTTTCAACTACTCTAGGCGTCGAGTTATTTAACCATCTTACGTCGGGCTATTTGAGTGATCGAGATATCAATACACAGCAAGAAGGAAAATACTTGATCGAGTAAGATACATGTTCAAATTACAAAAAGAAAGGGCTATCATCATACAAAAAAAAACAAAAAATAATCTAAGTCCTCGGCCCTTTCTCCCGAGGCTGTGCTCCCCTGCTCCTCCACTGCGTCCTCGCCGTCAACGTCGACCTCTTGGTCCTCGACGGTTTCCTCGGACTCTGAAAGCTTGAGGGTATCAGCAATCTCGGGGATGTTCTTTAGACCCTCGGGGTTAGCGTCGGGCTTCGATCTCAAAAATGCCCGAGCTTCCTTGAAGGCATGGAAGTACGAGCCCATGGCGTACTCTCCCTTAAGGCCGTTAAACTCCTCGGACATTTTAAAGTCCTCGATCGCAACCCCTCGAGCTTTAGCCAGGCGAGTCTCAAAATCAACTTTCAAACGCTCGATCTCGAGCTTTAAACCTTCGACCTCGCCCTTAGCAGTTCCAGCCTCTTCTCGAGCTCTCTGGGCATCAGTCTTCGAGTCCTCGAGCTCCTTCTGAAGAAGAAAGCGCTCAGCCTCCAAGTCGGCTATCCTCTTCTCCTGTGCTCGAGAAGAGTCCTCGAGTTCGGTGGTCTTTTGGGCCTCATCTTTCCCCTTCAGAGAAAGGCCTCGGGCAATGCTCAGAGCCTATACCATATAAACCCGAGCTTAAGTAATCACAGCGTTTAAACCTTTTTAAATCTTGTATTTAAACAAAGTAAATTGGGCGAGCTTACCTTCAGAGTAAGAGATTCCAGAGCCTTCATGCCCTCATCAAAACCGAGGTCCTTCCTATACTTGTCCACGATGCTTGACACCAGAGGACACCAGTCAGGCTCCTGATTCTGGAAAGAGGGCATAGGTCTAACCTCATCCTCGAGGTCAACAACCTCGGGAGTACTCCTTGGCCGAGGATGTGACCGAGGTGGACCAGTAGGAGTCTCAGCGGCCTGTGTGGTCGGGGTATGTCCCCGGGTAGAAGTTTCCCCAGGCCCACTTCTGATATTCTCGGGGCCTAGGTCCCGAGCTCTCTTCTACCCTGGAGCTCGAGCTTGAGGGGCCTTTGACTTTTTGGTCACGGCCTGTCTGAGGGCTGAAGGATCAAAAGTCATCTCTGCAAAAAAGAGCAAGTCATTAGAACGAGCACAATTATAAGTTTAAGGACAGATCAGTAAAGAGGAAGGCAAAAAAGTCCTACCCTCAGTGCCTTTCACATCCGCGAGATCGAGAACGTCATCCCCGAGGATGTCATCTATATCATATACAAGAGGCTCGAGGTTCTCTAACATTACCCTATGCCTTTCTAAAGACTCGAAATAGGCCTGACCTTCACAAAATCGGGGAGTGTCGGGCAAAACCCACCTAGGACTAAAAGGAAGGTCACTATCCTGAGGTGCGACATAAAACCACTTTTCTTTCCAACCTTTCAAGGAACTGAGCATCCTCGGTAATCTAAATCCTCCTCGGGACGAAAGGTAAGCAAAACAAGTGTATTGAGGAAGCTGTTTCAGGTCGAACACCATCCTACAGAGATCGACGTATGGGTTAATTCCTAGGTATCTACAGGCTATAAAGAAATAGGTAAGCATCCTCCACCCATTTGGCACGAGCTGTCCAGGGCTCATATTGTGCTCGACCAATAAGGCCACGAAAAAGGGATGCAGAGGCCATCTAAATCCCCCCTTAAGCGAGTCCCTAAAAATCACGAACTCTCCATCTCGAGCTAAGGCCATCCTATCCTCTACCCCTGGCGTCCTAATGTCGCATTTGGGCATGAGCCCATGCTCCCTAGCCGTCGATATTGTTAGATGTTCTTTAAATTTACAGGGGACCTCGGGGTACCTAAAAGGGGTCGGGATACTTTGTGCCCGAGGTTGGGCATTAATTGGGACAGCCATAGGTATGATCGAGCATCCTATGTCCTCGGGAGTACTCCTCGAGGACGATGATGACGAAGAGTCGCTACTGCTACTACTAGACATCCTGACCTAGGTAAAAAACGCCTAAAGAATAACTTAAAAACTCGAGGTCTTACCTTAAAGTCGACGCCTAAAAACTCAAAGTTCCGATCCCGACGATTAGCGATAGAAGTTTACTGAGAGTAAAAAGTGAAAAATGAAATGAGGGGAGGGTATTTATAGGCAACAGGGGCAGGAAGCCCAAAGGTCACTACCCCGACCGTTAGATCTGGACACGTGTCCTACATCCAACCCCACCAGTTTTTACCGCCTTTTCCTATTCTAGGGCTGACGTCAGTGTACGTCAGCCTTCTGATCGATCACAGGTGTTCAGAAATCCTCGAGCTAAAAACTCGAGCTTTTATTTCCAGTCTCTTTGCATCATATCCTCGAGCATATTCTTCGAGCATATATGCATGGGGGCCTATGATGGGGACATTTTCCAATATCCCCGATCATCACATTCCCGACGACTATTTTTTGATAAAGGTATAAATCCATCTGCGGTGTCCTCGAGCATGACCATCCTCGAGACATTATGCCCGACCACATCTCATGCTGCTTCGCGTATTGCAAACATTTGTCCTCGGGCATAGTCCTCCCCTCACTACTGACGATTGTTAACCCTTTAGAATTCCTACGCAATTAGGAATCTTAACTCCCACAAAAATCCTATCTCACGTATAATTCTGGAATTCAACCAACTCCTTAACTATTCAGGACTCCAATAGATGAGGACATCCAGCTAGTTGAGTCCAATTAGGAGAATGTCACTTACTACTATAAATACAGAACTTTGAACCATTATTCAGGTATATTTTTCATTGTTTTTCAGCACATAGCCTCACGCATATATTTCCCTTTCTGACTTAAGTATCGGAGGGGCGACGAGAACACATCTCGTTGTCTTTGTTTCAGGTACCGGGAGACCACGATCGTGATCAACCAGAATCATCAAGCTCGAAAAATCATCAGGTACGATTTTTGGTAGCATCAATACGTAAATCAAAATTTTTTACCTACTTTTGAACCACACAATTTTTTAAAAAATACTATTCAAAACAATTTTATTTAAATTTTAAGAATGTCAAATGTGGGCTAAGCACAAGTTGAGAGTATTGATGCCCTACAAGATTGAGGATGTTGGCTTACATAAGAGTGCAACAAAATTGTGCGTATCTACGTCAAGATATTGTTAGGAGGTTAATCTTACTCTTTAGTTTTAGAAATTATAGTACTGTCAATTTTTTCGGTGATGAATACTACTCATAAGTTATTTGACTTGTTTATAAACAAAAAATTTAATTTCTTTTTCAATTATCTTACACACATTACTTGTTATTTGCTGGAATTGTATTGCATCGAGAGTAATTATGATTGAATATATTCTTCGTGAAAATTCTTAAAATTTTTATTAGCTTGTTTATATTAACTCATTAGCGTATTTAATGAAACTTGCGGATTGGTGCTAATAATTTTAACAAAAAGAGAGTTCTATAGATAGTGTAGATATCAAATGAATTGGTTGAATTGATTATTAATTATCAATTATTCGACTGATCTAAAGTTTAAGCCAATGTTCGGCTAATATTTAAATGAGTAATTAGCACAAGACGTTCCTACCTTTCATGATTTTTGTGAAAAACGTCCATAACTTTAGTTTTTTGGCGCATTTCATCATTACTTTTATATTTTCTTGTGCAAAACATCATTTTCATCATTTTTCTCAATAAAAAGTTATAAAATGACTAATATACCCTTCTATTTTTTAATTTAAATAGAATGGTATATTAGTCATTTTATAACTTTTTATTAAGAAAAATGATGAAAATGATGTTTTTCACAAGAAAATGTAAAGGTAGAGATATGCGCCAAAAAACGAAAGGTAAGAGTGTTTTCCACAAAAATCATGAAAGGTATGGACGTTTTGTGCTAATTACCCTATTTAAATATTGTTAAACTGATTTTTATCTATGCATTTTATGAAATTGACAAGTACGATCTAATTATATACACTTTTCAAAAATGCTTTTAACTTGCATTCGAATTTATACACATGTTTGCATCTCATTTTTTGAGAATGGATTTTGTAAAGTATCTGTTTGGTTTAGTAAAAATCATATTTTTAGTAAATTTAAAAAAAAAATTGAAGAAATAAATGGTTGAAAAAATAATATAAATTTGTGGAGTCACGAAATACATAGTTAAAAATTAATTTAAAAATATTGACCTAACACGGTTTTTTTTTTTTTTTTTTAGATAAGAAGTAAGGTTAAATTTTGCATTTAGGAAAAAAATTATTTTATTAAAAAATTATATAATATAAAATGAATTTAAGGAAAAATCAATCTTGGAGAATGAAATCGTGCTACAAGCCTTCAACTTCGTTTCGGACCTAGCAAGCGGATAACTTCGGAGACGAAACAGGAAAACCGACTTTCAGGATTGACCCATTTAGTCGGCAGGGATCCGCTTTCATATATCCGGACCCGTATATAAGCATCCGTCAAGCACCTCAAACTGCGCAAACACTACCCAATCGACACCGAGCTTGGCTTAACTCGACGGGAAATCCCAAACTAAGGTTGGTTGAAATTCTCATCAAGAACCCGAGTTTAACAAATTTATACGTCGCATGTTAATCATTTTAGATAACTTTATGAGCTAGTGATTCTGTGGTTAATCACTTCTTAGATTCGTTGGGCGCTTTAAGTTCGATAAAAGAGTATTATTTTCCTTCTCTTTTGTTACATCTATTTTATTTTTTATTTTTCTGATATTCGGGGATGATTTATGGACGTCTTTTTGTGGTTATTTATATTTTTTTGTCGCAGTGGTTGAAATATACTGTTCTCTGCATCTTTGCAGGAGGATTCGAAATTAGGGTTAACCTAGGGTTAGGATTTTGTGATCTTCAGATTCGAGGGAAGTTTGATTGATTCTGAAATTACAAAATGGATGTGGACATGGAGATACAGAAGACAAAAGAAGAGAGGCAAAAAATGGAGGATCTCGCTGCACTCACTTCTCTAACCTTTGATACTGATCTATATAGTTCGAACAAGTTTGACGGTTATGATCAATCCATCCCAGTGAATGATGATGATGATGCTTTTGATGCTACTGAGAATGAGATTGCTAAGAAGATGGCATCTTTCACTGCTCCGAAACAGTTTTTTAAGGAGCCCCTGAGAACTGGGGGCGATGATGAGATGTCAGGATTTAAGCAACCTGGGAAGATAATCGATCGGGAGGATGATTATAGGAGGAGGAGGCTGAACAGGATTATATCCCCTGAAAGGAATGATCCGTTCTTGGATAAGACTCCGGGGCCTGAAGTGAGAACTTATGCTGATGTTATGAGGGAAGAAGCATTAAAGCGGAAGGAGGAGGATGTGAAGAGGGAGATAGCAAAGAAGAAGGAAGAGGAGGCAGCTGTGAAGGAAAAAGCAAAAGAGAGAGAGGCAGAGAAGCCGAAGAAGAGGAATAGGTGGGATGTGTCGCAGGATGAGAATCGTGGTGATAAGAAAGCTAAGGCAGGCTCAGATTGGGATTTGCCTGACTCTACCCCAGGAATTGCAAGGTGGGATGCAACTCCAACTCCTGGGAGGATTGGGGATGCAACACCGTCAATTTCAAGGAAAAATAGGTGGGATGAGACCCCTACTCCAGGACGATTGAATGATTCAGATGCAACCCCGGCTGCTGGCGGGGCTACTCCTGGAGCAACCCCTGCAGGAATGACTTGGGATGCCACACCGAAGCTGGCAGGGTTGGCTACACCAACACCCAAAAGGCAGAGGTCGAGGTGGGATGAGACTCCTGCCACTGTGGGCAGTGCAACACCGATGGGAGGCGCTACCCCTGCTGCTGCCTTTACCCCTGGCGTCACTCCTGTTGGTGCTATAGATATTGCTACCCCAACACCGAATGCTATCATGCGTAATGCTGCAATGACTCCTGAGCAGTACAATTTGATGAGGTGGGAGAAAGATATTGAGGAAAGGAATAGGCCATTAACGGACGAGGAGCTTGATGCAATATTTCCAAAGGAAGGGTATAAGATTTTGGAACCCCCTGCTTCATATGTTCCAATCAGAACTCCTGCCAGAAAGCTTCTTGCTACACCTACACCAATGTCGACTCCACTGTATTCTATTCCAGAAGAAAATCGGGGTCAGCAGTTTGATGTGCCAAAAGAGTTGCCTGGTGGTTTGCCAATGATGAAGCCTGAGGATTATCAGTACTTTGGTGCACTTCTAAATGAAGAAGATGAAGAGGTGTTGTCTCCAGAAGAGCAAAAAGAGCGGAAGATCATGAAACTCTTGCTTAAGGTTAAAAACGGTACACCTCCACAGAGAAAAACTGCTCTGAGACAGCTCACGGATAAGGCAAGGGAATTTGGTGCTGGTCCACTGTTCAACCGTATTCTGCCACTGCTCATGCAGCCCACACTGGAAGATCAGGAGAGACACTTGTTAGTGAAAGTTATTGACAGGGTGCTCTATAAGTTGGATGAGTTGGTTCGACCATATGTACACAAAATTTTGGTGGTCATAGAGCCTTTGTTGATTGATGAAGATTATTATGCTCGGGTGGAAGGTAGAGAAATTATTTCCAATCTCAGCAAGGCCGCTGGTTTGGCGACTATGATTGCTGCAATGCGTCCAGACATTGATAACATTGATGAGTATGTGAGGAACACTACTGCTAGAGCTTTTAGTGTTGTTGCTTCTGCACTTGGTATTCCTGCATTGCTGCCATTCTTGAAAGCTGTGTGTCAGAGCAAAAAATCTTGGCAAGCTCGTCACACAGGTATCAAGATTGTGCAGCAGATTGCAATATTAATTGGATGTGCCGTTCTTCCACACTTGAGGTCATTGGTTGAGATTATCGAACATGGTCTTAATGATGAAAATCAGAAGGTCAGAACAATCACAGCTCTGTCATTGGCTGCCCTTGCTGAAGCATCTGCGCCATATGGCATTGAAAGCTTTGACTCAGTGTTGAAGCCTCTGTGGAAGGGTATAAGGTCACACCGTGGGAAAGTCTTGGCTGCATTCCTGAAGGCTATTGGATTTATCATACCACTTATGGATGCCATATATGCCAGCTACTACACCAAGGAAGTTATGATTATTCTGATTCGTGAGTTTCAGTCTCCAGATGAAGAAATGAAGAAAATTGTGCTGAAAGTGGTAAAGCAGTGTGTGAGTACAGAAGGTGTGGAGGCAGATTATATCCGAAATGATATACTTCCGGAGTTCTTCCGTAATTTCTGGGTAAGGAGGATGGCTTTGGATAGGAGAAATTACAGGCAGCTTGTTGAGACTACAGTGGAGATTGCAAACAAAGTTGGTGTTGCTGATATAGTAGGAAGAATCGTTGAAGACTTGAAAGATGAAAGTGAGCCATATAGAAGGATGGTCATGGAGACGATTGAGAAAGTGGTTGCAAACTTGGGGGCATCTGATATTGATGCTCGCTTGGAAGAGCTATTAATTGACGGAATTCTCTATGCATTCCAAGAGCAAACAAGTGATGATGCTAATGTTATGCTAAATGGGTTTGGTGCCGTTGTGAATTCCCTTGGACAGAGAGTGAAGCCATACCTTCCTCAGATATGTGGTACTATAAAATGGCGGCTCAACAATAAGAGTGCAAAAGTGAGGCAGCAAGCAGCAGATCTGATATCTAGAATTGCTGTGGTGATGAAACAGTGTGGAGAAGAACAATTGATGGGCCATCTTGGTGTGGTATTATATGAGTATTTAGGAGAGGAGTATCCTGAAGTCCTGGGCTCAATATTGGGCGCTCTCAAAGCCATAGTCAATGTTATCGGTATGACTAAGATGACTCCTCCTATCAAAGATTTGCTTCCACGGCTGACTCCAATCTTGAAGAATCGCCATGAAAAAGTCCAGGAGAACTGTATCGACCTTGTTGGAAGAATTGCTGATCGTGGGGCTGAGTTTGTACCTGCTAGGGAATGGATGAGAATATGTTTTGAACTTCTTGAGATGCTCAAAGCACATAAGAAGGGTATTCGTAGAGCAACTGTGAATACTTTTGGTTATATTGCAAAAGCTATTGGGCCACAAGATGTTCTTGCAACGTTGTTAAATAACCTCAAGGTGCAGGAACGGCAGAACCGTGTGTGCACGACCGTGGCCATTGCAATTGTTGCAGAAACCTGTTCGCCGTTTACAGTTTTGCCTGCATTGATGAATGAGTACCGTGTGCCGGAGCTTAATGTTCAGAATGGTGTTCTGAAGTCGCTCTCCTTCCTTTTCGAGTACATTGGCGAGATGGGGAAAGACTACATATATGCAGTGACTCCATTACTTGAGGATGCTCTCATGGACAGAGATTTGGTTCATAGGCAAACTGCAGCTTCAGCAGTCAAGCATATGGCATTGGGGGTCGCTGGTCTAGGATGTGAAGATGCTTTGGTCCACCTGCTGAACTATGTCTGGCCTAACATTTTCGAGACATCCCCACACGTTATTAATGCAGTCATGGAAGCTGTCGAAGGAATGAGGGTTGCATTGGGAGCTTCTGTTATTCTGAACTATTGTCTTCAGGGACTGTTCCATCCGGCTAGAAAGGTCAGGGAAGTGTATTGGAAGATCTATAATTCGCTCTACATCGGTGCTCAGGATGCACTTGTGTCTGCTTATCCCATTTTGGAGGACGAGGGAAATAATTCATTCAGCAGACCTGAATTGCATATGTTCGTCTGATTTTGTCTGCTGTTTTAAGCAAATGAAAGAGCTGTATCCTTACTGAAAAAGCGAGTTACTTCTGTTTATTTAGGATGTTTCTTGGAGACTTAGATGTATCTGCTTGATATGATATTAAATAAACTTTGGCAACATTGTAGTACCTTGCATTTGGACCCACTCGATTTTAATTTTATGAGAGATTTTCCTATTAGATCATGTGCTACAACGTAAATTTGCCATCATTCTAAGGATTTTAGTACTGTTAAATTTACTGTGATTTCAAAATCCGTAAGTTCATCAATGATTAAATAGTCCAAGGATTTTGCAATCAGCTAACAGATTCGGTTGTTGATTAAATCCTAAACGCTCTTCAATCACTTACAATGAGACAGTCCAGCAGTATATAGATTACAATCTAGTGATTACAGTGTGTACTGTAACGAGGCATTGGGTTCTACTACTACTTTCTTCGTGTGACGTATTTAATATGTTCAGTACGCTGGATAGAATATAGAAAGGAAAAAATTAAAATTTTATTCACTGAGAGTATTATCCGGACATGCTTAGTATGAATGATCGTAACGTACTAAATATCAAACCCCTCGATCTCTATCACATTAAAATTGATCTTGAATTGGTACGGCCCAATCATGACGTCTAGTTCAATTACACCAATAGTCTAGTGGACGGAATTTTTGTATGCTCGGATCGTTATCATCTTTTTCTTTATATCCAAATGCTCGTCCCCTAGGCCCATTACACTGCTCATGCGAACATTCAAATCACTTCATGCCCATGGGATTAAACAAGAACAAGAGAGATATCTAGTAGAATATTCTTCTCCTTTCTTTTATTGAAAGAAAAAGAGGATCCGAACAAAATTAATGAAATAGAAGAAATTCGCATGGTAATTATAGTTAAGAATAATAAATTGTTAAAATAAGTGATACGTAAACAAGAATCTTACAAGACTTTCCTTCAAAATTGTTGCATCAGATTGAATATATTGACGAAGAGAGCAATTCGAGAGAAAATTAAATTAAAATTTTATTTATTAATAGTCTCTGTCTGGTAGAAATTTTTTGAGAAGAAATTTAATAATAGATATATTTTTTAAAGAATGTCAGGTTAAAAATAGAAAAAAATTGAGTTTACATGTAAAATTATTTTATAAGAGAAAATAAATGATTAAAAATGAGTTTGAAGAATAATTAATTTTAAAAATAGCCAAACAATGCCTATATTCTAATTATTCATTCATACCAAAGGCGTGCTTGTTACAGTCCGACAAAACATTCACGAAGAAAGCGGTGCGACTTTTGAAACGAAGTGCGATTACTGAGATGGGATTTTGAATAGAGGAGTGAGCAAAACCCTGGCAAGAACCTAAAGAAAATTGCATCTATTTTCCATTGATAAACCCTGCCCATTTCTTACACCACCTCACAGGTCACTAACACGCCCAATTAATTAATTGGCAGATATGCCATCGTTTCCTCAGAAAGGCTCCGTCACAATCTGCGAAATCAACAGAGACCTCAGTATTAACTTTTAATTTATTTTCTTATATTCAGTTCATGATAAATTTCAATGTGATTCTCATATTTTGGACTCTTTAATTCGACAACGCAGTTACTGCAGATAACCTCTCTGACGATCAAGCCAAAGAAACCTATGCCAAAATTCTCGTGAGCTATTATTGTTAAGCAATTTTTTTAGGATCTTGGTTTTTTTTAAATGATTGAAATTTTAGCATTAATGGGTTGTAATAATTTACAGGGAACTGTATTTAGTCCAGTCGCATTCGAACCCGATAATTTTCTGGGCACGGCAGCGGAACAGCCAATTGCTACCGGACATGGCAGATTTGGGTTTCTATCTGTGACATTGAGGGCCCTGTTGAGTGGTTCGCTCAAGCCCCTCTTACGGCCCATGGATGTAATGTCACTCTTTAATGCACACACTTTATAATAATTAAGTCATGTTTCGTTACATATTTGCAGTCTTCTGGTGTATGTATTTTTCTACTCTTAGAAAGTTGTCTTTAATTTGGGGCCTTATGTACCACATCAGATGTAGTGATTTGGCCTGCATAAAGCTTTAGTTTTGGACCAGAGAATTGTGCGTAGATTTGAACATGTTTGGGCCGTGTTATAGAAATCTGCTTGCATCTATTAAAATATTATGACTATGCTTTATGCCTGTATATCATAAACAGGTTGCTGGCTTAATCAAAGGGAAAGGTATAAGGGCTAGATGTAACTGAGTTTGCCTAGTGGGAATATGTGACAGCTCTTTAGCAACTTTTTGATATCCATTTTCAGGTAAAATTGTTGCAAGATGTTGATCTTCGTGGCGTAAGTTGGCACCAACGCAAGCATATTTTAGCATTTATTTCTGGGCCACATCACGTGACAATTCGCGATTATGATGATTCTGGTATGCTCACTTGTATGATACTCCTTTTTTTCACTATTCTTTTGGCATTTTCTATTATCATCTCTACATGCTCTTAACTGATTTCTTTTTTCCTTTTTTTTTTTTAATTGTTCTGTTAAACCATTTTTGTTTTAATAGATAGGAAGGATCCTTGCATTTTGATTCATGAATCCCAGAAAGATGTCAAAATCGTAGAATGGAGGCCAAACTGTGGGAAGACACTTTCTGTGGCATGCAAGTTAGTATCACAAAATCCGTTTTTTGTTCCTTTTTGTTTAAATCTTGTTATTGTTTTGCTAGAGTCTTTAGCTTATTGATACTTTTAATGTCTAAATGAACAGGGGTGGAATTTGTATTTGGTCTGCTTCTTATCCTGGCAATGTCGCATCTGTGAGATCTGGGGTTACCTCAGGCATGCTTTCTAGAGGCTCTATGACTAGATGGACTTTAGTGGATTTCTTTCAAAGTTCTGATGAAGAACAAATAACTTCACTTTCGTGGAGTCCTGATGGAAGATATCCAATTCAGTTATAGTGATGCAGTTCTGCCTTCACTGATAGTCATGCAACTTGTGGATATTTTCATTTCTCATTTTATAACTGTTCCATACTCATATGATTTAATGCTGTTCTTTATCATTTGGTATACTAATATCTTAGGAAAATGAATGCATGAAATACAATATATGTCAAATCCGCTCATTTCCTGGGTCTAAGTCACATTTGCTTACGAAGTTGCTTCGGTTTACTGACTTTATTGAGGTTTCCATCAGTTGACGTTTTACTACTACAAATCTCACCAATTTTTGTTCAATAAATTTCTAGCTCGTGAACAGATGAGACATGCTTCATTTTTGGCTCATAAATGTTTTTCAAACTAAGTTTCAAGCTCCCTCAGGGCCTTTTTGCTTAAGTTCACCATCATTTTGTTCAATAACTTTCCCATCTCGTGAACATATGAGATGGGCTTTGTTTTTGGTGCATAAATGCTGTTCAAACCAAGTTCAGAGCTCCCTTAAGGCCGTTTGCTAATTTCTCACTTTCTCATAACAATCAATGACCAGCTTAGAGGAGTTTTTATTTATCCAGAGTTTTCATGTTATACTAGTTTGATTCGCTGCTGTTTCATGCACAGAGGGGAATCTTCTGCTTCTTTTTATTGTTCTTTTCTTCCTGATGCTTCTTCCGTAGGGAATCATTACCATCTAGCGATCTTCATATACCGCCGGAAGTTTACCATGGTTGTAATATTAACTGTGTTTTTGATTGTCTTTGTTACAAATCCATACGAGCTAGTTATAAATCTGACAATATGATATCAACTTTTCTGGAATTACTAGCTTGAGGGTTAGATAAATAGCTTCAGTTATGTTTAAGAAGGAAAGAATCAACGTGGTTGGTATTCTATATTTGTAACTTCCCGTTGGATAAAATCAGTTTTGGCTTTCATATCTAACTTTTTGTCGAACACTTATAGGTTGGATACGGGCATTTATACTTAATGAATCTGAAATTTTCCTTGACTCAGTTTTACATATTTAGCATCAGCTTCATACGAGAGTTCATCGTTCACCATATGGGATGCTGCACAAGGTATATAATTGGTCATGTATTGAAGCAAATTAGTTTATTCTAATTCTGCAAGCAAGCTAGAATTATTTGCTTCTTCTTGTTAGATGTGATTTCCTTCTCTGTTCAACATCAATCTTTGAACTCGTTGACCATTAATGATTTTCGCGAACTTGTTTACCATTCATGTTACACAAAATATGGTTCTTGTTTGTTAAGGTTTAATTCTGTTCTCATATACCATATTTCTGTTGCACGGGCTTCAAACTAATTTATGTTTATTCACTTCTTGTGTAATTTCATGTTTGCCATTTATGTTCAATCTGTAGACACGTGGGAAATTCGACAAATATGGTTCAGCCTGTTGTAGTTTCTCTGTTAATTCCTGTTTTCTTACGTCATATGCAAATGAATGAAATCATTTGACTAAGAGATTTCGTTCAGAAAGATTATGCTTTGAATTCAAGTATGGAGCATTTAGAAAGACTATCGGCGTCAAGACCACCCAAGACCATGAATATTGCTTTGTGTTAGAAGGCAGAGTATCAATGTTATTTTGATTTTCTGAGAAACAAGTTCAGGTTGTGGTCATCTTTTCAAGCAGTGTGTTTCAGACCCTGTACGACATAGACCTCAAAATTATATATCTCAGTCCAGTCAAATGGACAATGAAGAGATACTGTGTGAGAATAACTTTCTAAGCTTTCATCTGAATAAAAAGTCTGGTTGTTCGTGATGAGAAGCAGGCAGAAATACGTAAAGTAGCTATTGTAAATTTCGTAAAAATAAACAGAGATTTCTATTTGTACTTGGTAAAGGTATTACTATAATGTTTTGTGGGGTAAGCATATTCTACCTAAAAATGTGCTTTTATACCTAATTAATATGCGCAATTGTGCTTTTGTAATATATTGGATAGAGCCTTGTGACAGTGCTAACTCTAGAATACATGTTCCTGCTCAAGCAAAATGACTCACTTTTTGGCCTGTGCACTTTACTTTCAAGCGTTTCGAGAATTCTTATGGAAAGACAGTTCAGATCAAACCAGGAGAGGACAGGACTCTGGGGTCTATTAGCATTATCAGAGTTTGCTTAAGAACTTTCTTTCTTTCTTTGATTATCAACATCTTTGTGGGAAGAAAAATGAGGGTTTAATCTGAAACCTACTACCATAAAATATGAATTTGGTTTAGATGATTGTGCTTTAGGTTATTATCTGTCTCCCAAATATATATATGGACACAATACAAACATAGCAACGTGTGATTTTTCTAGAAAGTACGACATGGTCACGTTAGGGACACGTCAATTTTAATTCTTCCAGTAGTAAATTTATATAGCATCTTTCTTCTTCTTTTTTCCCCCTTTTAGTATAGGCACGACACATGCCCTTTGAATGTCCCTAAAGCATTTCTCAGGCGTTAGAGATTTAAAAAATATATATAAAAAGTAGGACTTTGCAAGTGGCTTGTTGGACTCAGATCGATGTCAAGAAGTGTCAAAGGGCGATGTCTGACACGATGCAATACGTGTTGGACACTAACAAACCGTCCAATCATAGGTTTTACCTCATCATATCTTGACAGACAAGTTATTGGCCTAAATATACGCTTTGACTAGAATATGGATTTTATCATTGCCGGCTCTGTTGTATTCTGTTTCTTTTGTAACCTTCTACTTCTCTTTTCCTGATGTCTAATGTTTTTGTGTCTGTATGGCTCACAGGTCTGGGCACTCCTATTCGACGAGGTTTGGGAGGCATATCGCTTCTCAAGTGGTCCCCCTCAGGAGATTATTTTTTTGCTGCAAAATTGTACTGTTACTTCTTTAGAAAATTTCCAGTTGCACATGCATGTTATCGACCTTCATAAAGAAATGATACGTTACTGAAAAGGAAGGAAACTTAAATGTTTGTAAACATACATCTTCATAACTTCACCATCACATTTTGTGCAGTGATGGGACATTTTATCTTTGGGAGACAAACACATGGACATCAGAACGATGGTCATCCAAAAATGGATTTGTCACGGTTAGTGAATCCCCTATAATTTCTGTGGTTGGTACCTTACTACTTTTGATAGAGATGTTATGTATCTTGTTCGATGTCTTTATTAGCCGTTATATGGCTGAGTGAGTCCACTGTTCCTAGCATGCTGCACTTTCTCATAACAAGTCTTCTTTTGTATGGTTTGGTTTCTGTTCTCTGGGGGAAATATGACTTGGTTATGAAGTTATATGGGATTTCCTTTAGAGAAAAGTTAATATGACTATAATGTGTTAGGTTGGAATGAATACTATACCTGTTGTAATTGGAATTGCTGTGTGTGCAAGATGGCTATTTTCAATTGCTTGTATATCAAGTTTATGCAGAAGGATTGATTTTTAACATTTTTACCATCTCACTCCGTTTACGTAGTGTTTTTGCATTGCCATATTGCTGAAGCATCCGATAGTTGTCTGATCATGCGCAATATTTAGCTGAAGGATCAAAACCACGAGAATTGAGGTTGTAATAGATTAGATTAAGCTTAATTAGAAGTTAATGCTTTTTCTTGCCATGATGTTTTTGATGTCAGTACCTTCACGGGGTAGTTATATCCTGAATGTTTCTTTCTTTTTTTGCTGTTGATGACAGCTGAAATACTTATATCCTAGTCTTTTGAGTAGGCGGAGCCAGGAATTGTCTAGTGTGGCAAAATTTAATCAAGGTCGAATTTTTCGATTATGGATTTGATGATATTACGACAATGCTAAAAATGTCATAGCGACAACACTAATAAGATGATTATCTTCCTTCTTATTCTAGGATATGTAGCAAATTGTGCAACATCAAAATACATTTTATTTGATATTTCATGATCAGTATTTTCTACAAAATGTTTTCTTTTAAAGAATCTCTCCATTGGCACTCCACATTAAAATAAACCAGAAGTGACAAATACTAATTGGTAAGAAAATAACTACTAATTTTTACAAATTGGTAGAACACCAGAAAATCATCACTAATTGTTTAACTAATTAACTGAAATCAGGATTTCAAGAATCCATCTCAAATATTACCAATATTTAACATTCACATAATCAAAATCCCTAATATTAAACAGAAAAATCTCCAAAATTAAACAGAAAAATCACATGATCAAGAAAGTTTTTGCTGCAACTTTGAGGGCCCAAGAAAATGTGCGTTATAGGAAAGAAATGAACCTTGAAAATACTTCAAAATGAGGACAGATTAAGTACTTGTCTGGGGAAGCTTCTCCTCTGATTTCTATCAAAATTGTGACTGTTGGCTGCCGTAATTCTTGACCCATCCTCTCACGGGTGGGTCCCAATGGAGAAAAAAAGGGTAAGATTTCCAATTACAATCAAGATGAAAAGCTATACCAGACTTGGCTTAAAAGAAAATTTTTAAATTCTTGTTGAGGGGAAAGAGTCAAAAAATGTCACCGTGCACTTGGAGTTGGGGTAAATTAGTGTATGGGCAGGACTATAAATAAATGAAAAACAAAAAAAGATTAAAAATTGGATTGAGTCTAGGCTGGGCCAAAAGTCCGGTGCAGGCAAATGCCCTCACTGGACCATGAATGGCTCCGCCCATGCTTACAAACAACAATATGTGGCAGTGACCTTTCTGTCACATAGACTTCTGTTTTGTAAGCATGGCTTAAAAATATCATTATTCTAGTTTTTTACTTCATCTTGTTGATGGGATTATTATCTAATTTTTCCTCTTAATTATTGGTGATAGGGAGCAACATGGGATCCTGATGGGCGCATGATTCTTATTGCTTGTTCTGAATCATCAACTTTAATTTCTATTCATTTTACATCAAAACCTCCATCACTAGGTATATCAGATTTCTCCAGGTTCCAAAATTTCTTGTTAATTGATGTCTTAGTTTTAATTTGGACGTATTTAAGTAAGATTATTCATGGTTTATAGCCTTCGATATACATAATCCTGTGATAGCAATGGAATACAGGAGGGGGGAACTTCAAATGGAAGAGAATAATTTATGTTTTTGTATTAAAGATTTTTAATTTGTTAATTGTAAATTTGTTATGCATTTTTAGAATATAAACACAATTCTAAACAGAAGTCTCTTCTAAGTCTTGAGTTTGCAAGAAAATTTAACCTTGGTTTGCTGAGTACCGTTAACAAACAGGAGATTTAGATAAAAAGAGCACTATGTTGCTTCATAGTCGAATTTTATTTTGTTGTTTCTATATGAATACATAGATCGAAGCAGTTTGTTTATGATTTCGTGCACAGATATTTCATTAGTATTCTGTTTTTGCTTTTAACTCTTGGGGATGATTCTCTTCAGATGCACACCCCATAGCTGTTGAGTTGCCAGAGATACAATCCTTGACTGGCAGGTAGAGAAATCCTCTAATATGTTTACTTACAGACTCATCCAACTTTTTAGTTAAATGCGCAACTAATGTCCACCTTGAATGAAACTGTTCTTGTTTTGGTATTGCACGGAACTTCTTCACTTAATACAATATGAACGGGCAGTTCTACCCACCAACACCAGAAAATAAAAGGGCAGTTGCTACCCACCACTGCCCGAAAATGGAAAACTGGAATCCTGGATTTGCATTTTCAGCATAATATGTTATGTACTACAAGGCCTTCCTAGCAGTCGGGGTTTTTTGAAAAAAAATTTATGTATGAAGAGACTTGCAGTAATATGTTATATTTCTCAAGCCCTTTCTAGCAGAAGTGATTATATTTAACCTTTTTTTTCTAGTATTTGTTATGTATGAAGACACTTCTTCATAATGCTGTCATTAATTTTCTTGTTATTTCTACAGCCAAGGCATTGAGAAGATAGCATGGGATGCTTCAGGAGAGCGCTTGGCCGTATCATATAGAAATGGTGACGAACTATACAAAGGTCTCATTGCCATATTTGATGTTAAAAGAGCTCCCTTGATTGCACCGTCACTAATGTGAGTTTCAAAATCTGCTGTTATCATTCAATATTTATCTCAATAAGAGCCACATTTTTTGCTTGCTTATAAGGAAAGGCATTTGTTGTGATGGCGAGTGTTGGCATTTATATGTTAGGCAGGGTTTGATATGTTTTTTATATTTCAGTGGATTCATCAGAGGTCCTGGAGACAATCCAAATCCAATATCATTTTCATTCTATGACAAATTCAAACAGGGACCATTGCTTTCTGTGGTTAGTCCTCTTTGACATATTTTTTCATAGACATGGATGTTCTCACTGGAATTTAGACATTCAAGCAGAAGCTCAGGCAAAGGGAAAACAAGCATGAAATGTGTAGATCATTCCAGATTTATAATCTAATTTCATTCAGCTTGACTTGAACTTATAATCAGACATGCTTCTGTCAAGTAATATGGTCAACATCACCTCACTTTTGCAATCATTGAAGCTTCTTGCCAAACTTTGATTCTTTGCAGTGTTGGAGCAGTGGATTTTGCTGCACCTACCCACTTATATTTCGCTCACATGTTCTTCCTTAGTCCAAGGTATTGGTCTTAAGCCAGCTTTCCAAAAATAAATGTTGATATCTCCTCATTTTCTTTGAATTGCTGACTCGAAATTTACTGCTTTTTTTGTACGATCTGTTCTGTAGAGTTGGAGCATGAAGGCAAATGTAAATGTGCAATGTTTCAATGCTCGGGAAAACATTCTCTGTGGTGATCGTTAAATTGTTTTAAGACCCTGATACCTGCAGATTATGACAGGAACTTGTTGCTGTTTCGGTTTTTTCCTTCAACTTTTGAAGTGGTTTTTTCTACATGAAGGTCCAAATTTTGTTGAGAATCTGGTGCGTGTACAAAATTCTTTGTCAAAAAATTTAGATCAAATTTTGATGGAGGTATTGGAAATTGCATCTCTAATAATTCTATGATGAATACCTTTTTGGTATCCGGTTGGACTTGTATGGCCTGTATTCCCTATAGTGAAAACCGAAATGTTTGTAGAAATATAAGATGACTTCCTACCCGATAGATGAGGTTCCGTTTGGTAAGATTTCTATTTCTTGTAAAAGAGCTTTTCGAGTAAGCTATTTCAGAATAACTTTCTCAAGAAGTTCTAGCCAGATAAAACGCTTTCAGAAAATTATTCAAATATGTTTAAAAGCAACTTTTTGGTTTCAAACTAGACCGATAATAAGTGTAAATTCCTCCCTACACCTAACAGAGAAAATTATACAGAATCTTATCATTTGCCTGCCGAAGCCCGTCGTCTGATTTTACCCCCTCCCTAAACCTTGCAGCTTTCTAAACTCATTTACTGGAGGGACAATAAAAGAAAACGTGCATGTTGGACTCGTCATTTCCGCACCTTGGTCCTTGGGCACAACGAATCAACTGGGATTTTCCTCCTTTAGCCGGACTTGAAAGTGTTATCATCGCATTTTGAAAAGGTCTCCAAAGAAAAATTCTGAGTTTTTGGACTGGTTTTTATCAACCCGAACTCGGTCCGTTAGAGTTAAACGACACTCCCAAGTAGAAATATTCATGTTGTTGCTAGCTTTTCTAGTGGGCTTGTAACTGGTGCCACCTGCGTTCAGCAATAAAAGAGGAAGCATTTTTATAGGGGGATTTATCTAAATTTTATGGTTAGCATGCCATGCACTTAAAAACAATGAAATATGCAGAATTTCAACAACTGGGTGAGCGAGAGATACTATAATGAACCATCTTATCTTTCCGCCCGACTCTTTGGTCTTAAGAATGAGTGATTGCCCTTCTCCGATCCTTACTGTCCAACCTGAGAACAGATAGCTAATGCTCTAAAAGAGATGACAAGATTTTTGTTATCAACATGACCTCTCATCAGTTATATACCTTTTAGACTAGGTAGTTAATCGGTAAAAGGAAATGTCTTCTTTCAGTGCTTAGAATGAAGTATAACTCTCATCACTACACAGAGCTTGTTATGCCAACCAATATTATATAGTACAACGATGGAAAATTGAAACACTAATTCCTCTCTAGCCTGATAAGAAATCCAACTTCCGCTAGTGCATTCGAAAGACTCAAAGATGCAATGCAATTTTGGCTTTCCGAACAGTCACTACATTGTTATACTTTTGAAATGGATGACTTTTCAGAAAGTTACTACATTGAATAATTTTCTCAAAGTGTTTTAACTAGAAGAACTTTTTGAGATAGTTAACTGCTTATTCAGAAAGCTCTTTTACAAGAAGCAGAAGTCCTACCAAATAGGCCATAATCCATTATACTTTTCAGAATGTTGAAACTCCAAGATGCAATGCAATTATATCCGGTACTAAATACAAAACAAGCATGCAAAGCATGACAATGTACTGATGTAGTAACTTCCATATTTGCACGAAAGGCAAAATGATGGGAGTATCGACTTGATCATTATGACTGATTCCTGAAAATCAATGAAGTATAAAAGACCATTATATCACTGGAAACCAACAAAAAAAAACAGTAACTGATGGAGACTTTTTTTTACCAGCATTGAATACCCAAACAGGTGATGCGCCTAAATCCTCCGCTAGCTACGAGAAGGCAGAAAAATGGCATCCATTTGAAATGAGCAAAATACATCAGAAATTCTTAAAAAATTAATTACGGTGCCTGGGCATCAAACATTACATGAAGATAC